TAAAACGTTTACCCTACAGCAAAAGTCAACACTTTTTGACATCATGATGGTTAGCAAAAAGTTGAACAAATTGATTAACATGAAGTACATATAACATCTCGTTGATTTTGTAGCTACGAAGAAGATGTATATGACTGAAGATTACATAGAAAATGAACTGGGCTCGCATTGGTCTGCACAAATATATTATTCGCTTTGAAATCAAGTATTATGTGAGACTTCATGATTCATGATCAAATATATAGCGAATAATTCAGAAAACGAATCCATTCCAGTATACTTCGATCTTCAAACCAAAATACGGTAGTTCTGATGAGAAAACATTACATTCCATATGCATTGCCATAAATAGGATACTATTCAACTATTTTAATCATTGGAAAATAGAGGCTCAATGAATACCACCTATTTTTTGGAGCACATAAGATACGAATCTCTTAAACCACGGATTTGTTCAAGTATAACACTGACTGCAAGACAGTGCTTGTGTGTTCAACACACTGGCTATGAAAGAATCTGAAATGAATCATTTTTAGCAGTAGCCTGTTCACATATATTCCTTATTCTAAAGTCTATAGCTAATGGAGTCAGAACAATTGCATACGACGTGGCTATTAATCAGCAGTAACAACACCTCTATCCTTGAGCACTATTCGCTTTAAAGTACAGTATGTCATTTGGCCACATCATTGATGATATCTTGATAAATGAATAATGCTCAGAAGAGTTCTGTTCAAATATATTACACGCTTACGAGCAGGATATATGAGTCGATTGCATAAGCGATGCATCCATGACACATGAATGATTCAAAGTAGTGTTCCGTTCAAGAATATTATTCATTCCCAAGCACAGTTTATCGATCGATCAGATCAATGAAGTTTCTCAGACGAATGGACAACTCTAAGTAGAATTCTATTCATCTATGTGAATCACGTCAACTTAATCTGTATCAGTCGACAACATCAGCGCAGATCCATTGACGAATGAATCATCATAACCAAACTTTTCTTCATCTATTTTCAGCACTTCAAAACGAATTGTATTCCTCAACCATCTTAGCTAGGCTTCCATGACAAATGAATCATTCTAAAAAGAATTTTGTTCATATATGTTTAGTACTTTAAGCGAATTGTGCCACTTAATCACATCAGCTAGATTTTCTTGGCAAATGAAACATCCTAAACAAGGTTCTGTTCGTCTATGTTCAGTACTTGAAATCGACATGTATCAAAATATCGCATCGATCAGATGCCTTGGCAAGTAAATCATTCTAAAAAAAGTACTTTTCAACTATATAGTTTGACTTAAAGCACAATGAGACAGTCGATCATGTTAGCAAAGGTTCGTGGACACATGAATCGTTCTAACCAAGATCTTGTTCATTTATATCTTTCACGTGGAAGTAACGCATATCAATTCATCACAACAGCAAAAATTTCCTCACAAATGAGTCTTTTTTAAAAGATTTCTTTTCAAATATATCATTTTCTTCAAATATTTGTATTTTCGTCCATCACATCAACAAAAATCTGTTGACAAATGAACCATCCTAACTAAACTAATTTTCAACTATGTCCGGCATCTCGAAAAGAACTGTGTGAATCAAGGACATAAACGAAGACTCGTTAGCAAATGAACCATCCTAATCACAGTACTGTTCAGCTATATTCGACACCCCGAAGCAAGACGTATCAGTCGAACACATCAGCGAAAATTTAAGAACAAATGAATCATTTTAACCAGAGTTCTGTTAAAATATAACACTCGCTTTGAAGCATAGCACTTTTGCCGAACATATTAGCGAAGGTTCCTTGACAACTGAATCATTCTAAAGAATGTTCTGTTCAACTATATCACTCGTTTTTAAGCATAGTGTTTTAGTCAAGTGCATCAACGAGGATTCACTCACAAATGAACCATTGTAAGGATGGTTCTGTTCAAATATATCACTGATTTTGAAACATAATCTTTCAGTCGAATACAACAGCAAAGATTCACTTACATACGAATCGTTCAAAGCAATATCATGTTCACATATATGATCCATTTTCAAACATAGCGTTTCAGTCCAATAGATCAGCAACAATTCACTTACTAATGAATCATTTTAATGAGAGTTCTGTTGAAATATATCATTCACTTCGAAGCATAGTGATTCAGTCGAACATATCAGCGAACACTCTCTCACAAATGAATCATTCTAAAGAAGCTCACATTCACGTATATGGTTCACTTCGAAACGATGTATTTCAATCGTGCACCTCAGCGAAGATTTACTCAAGCATGAATCATTTTTAACAGGGTGCAGTTCAGACAGATCGCAAACTTCGAAACGAAGCGTGTTAGTTGATCCCATCCGCGAAGATCGGTTGATATTTGAATCATGTTAAGGAAAGCTTTGTTCACCTATATCTAGAATTTTGGAAGAGAACGAGTCGATGAGTCGTATTAACGAAGATTGAGTGACAGAGGAATGAGATGGAGAATGTTTTTGTTCAACTTGAGCGTTCAAATAAAAACAATTACTCATAGTCAGCTTAGTTGATGGGGTCTCATGTCGCACGATTAGCTCAAACAACGGGCTCATTTGTTTATCTGACTCCTAAGACGTTAACCACTAAGGACGTCGGTAACTCTTCAACATACACGATCTTTAGTGTCTTAATGCGTCTTCGATCCTAATGCCACCATTCGTGCTAAGGTTCTCAAATGGATAATTGACGCTTTTTCCGAAAATATCTGGAAGCCTTCCGGTATATTTGGAATATTCTGTAATTGAAAACTAATACTAATTGAAGTACAGACTTTCTTGAAACGAGAGCATTTCACTTAGCGTGTCAAGTTGAAACTTACTCAATACTAAGGTTAAAAGTCAGTGCATTGTTGCTTTATATTTTCTCGTACATGACTACTGATGAATGGCACATATTTGTTGATTCATGACAAAACTTCTTGATGCATCTCTCAATTTTTGATCTAGATCATGCAAATCGATCAGTGATGATCAGTGTTTGAAAATCCCAAAATAAGCTGGTTGTCTAAGGCCGTTGTTGTTAAAAGACGAGACATCTCGTCTCATTCCGGTTTTTCGTCGATGTCGATCTGTTCCTTCCATGTACGCAATCTTGATTCAATCTTCCTCCTAATTGATGTTTTTCTTCTTTATTGGACAGAACCAGAATAGAAAGAAGAGAAACGACCATAGCACTAAACATCTAGCTTTTCATGAAATCTTTAACTTTAATTATATTTTCCAACAAAAATGTGAATCTTTGTCAGATCAAGTGAAAAATCGGTTTTAATACCTTAGTTGGAAACTTTGTAGAAATAAAACTATCCATTAAACTAGATTCTTCGAAAAGTTTCACATGTTTTGATATCTTGTGTCTTAAAATATCGGTACTCAACGCTTTGTTATCGAAGAATGCGGTATCAAAGTATCTTTTCCTCGTACCTGACAAGTGAGAATGCCGCGATGAGTGAAAGTTTCACAATAGATAAGTTTCAGCTTTGAAATTCGAGTTTTCAAATGAAATGATGATGGTAGAAGAAGTAAAAACTAACTTCGCAGACTCTGAGATGCCAAAAGTTCTAAAAATATGCCAGACTCTGTCAACATTTGAAAATTACTTTGCCATTATGATTCATCTCTCGCACTCACTTGTCAGGTACGAGGAAAAGATCGACATCGACGAAAAACCGGAATGAGACGAGATGTCTCGTCTTTTAACAACAACGGCCTT